CGAACTCCTCTTGTCACATGACTCCTCTTCGTTGGCTCTCTCTCCATCTTTGGTTTGGGCAGTCGGTCAGCTTTGGTCTCAATCTGTAATCTTCATTCCATCACAGGGCTCATGCAGCGCAGTTTCTGCACATCTGCTCCCTGACAGTCCTGGAGTTTGACCTCTTGAGGGCTCCATTAGCTGCAATCTGAGAACAGGACAGAGCAGAGTCCGAATTTCCATCCTCAACCTGGGCACGGCCCTGCTCCCAGCATCCATGATGGAATTGGTCCGGCCACCTGGGCCCCTTCCTCAGCCCCAGCCATGCTGCAATGGTATAGTGTGCAGGCCTGCCCGGTGGGCAGAGACCCAGGGACCAGGGCGGGCCAGGAAGGAGCCTCCTTCTGCTTGCAGTGAGGGGCTGGTGGCACCCGGCAAGAGGAGAGAATGCTCAGGATGAGAAAGGTGGAGGTTGTTGTCTGGCTTGAGACTCACATGCCTGTACTTCCAGCACTCGGAGGCTGAGGCAGGAGAACGGCCACAAGTTCGAGGCCAGCCTGAACTACATAGCAAGAGCCTGTCTAAAAAAGAAAAAAAATTCCTGAGAGATGATTTCAATGCAATAAAATATCAAGCCTAAAATATGCTCCTAAATCTGACACTTTATAACACACGCACACACACAAATGTGAAAAAGTTCATTTAAGCCTCTAAAAATAAACTTGTATATGGTTTTTTCTTCACCCAGATGGTGATATAGCCCAGAAATTCTCTTTAAAAAGGACACACTGCACTGTGGCACAGACGGTAGACTAAGGAATGTCCCCTGCACATGCAGTTCGGCCCTCCACAGAACTCACAGTGACCCACACATTTTAAGAGTCCTGTCCACGTTGGGATCCCCGGAGCCTCTGGCCCTGCTACCTTCCACAGGAAGAGACGGTTTGCAGGCGTGATAAAGCCTTGAGATGGGAGGGCTGTGCCGCCTTACCCACAAGGTGTGTGACCAGGAGCCCTTACAACAGAGGGAAGACAGTGAGATGCTGGAGCACAGCAGGGGCCCCACCTGACCCGACTCAGCCATGTTCACAGGGAGGTAGGGACGGCAAGGGAAAGGATCTCCCCTAAAGGCATCTGGAAGCAACACAACCCTGAACACACCTTCCCATCAGCCCAGGGACTGCAGACTCGTGACTTTCAGAACCGTAGGATAATAAATGCAGGCTGCTGAAAGCCACTGGCTTTGTGGCACTTTATGATACCAGCTGGATTTCAGCACTGCAGTCGACTTCCGTACTGCACAGAATCCACAGGAGTTCCTACGTTTTAGAGTCTTTTCTACCAAAATTGAGAAATAGCAAAGAATGCAAACGACCGTGAACAACAAACATTTTCATTAAATTGCTTGAATTTTTGAGGCTTGGAGGGATGAGCTTAGGCAAGAATTTATGAATCGACACTCGTTACCAAGCGCAAGACCTGTGTTCTCAGGTAGACCCTTCATTTGCTTGTGGTTCCCTTAGCCACACTCTGCCTTCCAGCAGATGTTTTCCCAGGCACAATTTCTTTAAAGCAAATGTGTTCTCCGAAGAGTGCAGACTGGCCAGGACAAAGACCCCTGCCAGGTACAAAGCCGCCTGTGACCGTGATAAAGGCCCCGAGACTGTGGGCTTTGAGAAAGGAAGGGAAAAAGACTAAAAAAGAAAAGAGAAAAATGGGCTGCTCAGTAAGATTCTCCAGGAAGTCCCCTTCACCCGGGCTAATTGAAATCAGGGCGATTAGCATAAGAATGGGTGCATTTTCAGTTTACAGAGCCTCAATGTGAAACGGTCCAATTTAATCCCTTTGATGATTTGGAAGTCCTCCAGGGTGTTGCAGATTTTCCTGCAGCCATGAATATTAATCTTGGGGTGGGCACTGTGGGAAAGAGTTCAGCAAAGGTGGGCCTTCCCCTGCAGGCTCCATAAGGACGCTGCAGAAGCATCAGTCCTGAGGAATGCTGTGTCTTCATAGCCCGGCCTGGAAAGGAGCATGCCTCGCCTCTGTCTCTGTCTCGGAGAGCAGTCTCCATTTGTGTGACCACTTTTTACGCTCTGTACTCAATGTGGACTGCATTCCCAGGGACTGGGCAGTGTCTTCTAGGATCTTCTGCCCTTTTCCCGTTGTGTCTGGAATCCACAGCAAAGGGACAGTACCTCGCCAGGTACTTCACAGGTGCTGAATGCTTGGTACAAAATGAAGACATGATTCTTGATTTGCATAAGCCCATGTGGTCTGTAGGTTCCGCCCTGCATCCCTGTCTACATCCTGACTGATGTGGCTGTGAAATGAGCCAGAACAGCTGAGCTAGGGGCTGTTAAGTAGGAGACAACACCGTGACTGGTGGGAATTTCTCATACCCCAGCCAAGAAAAAACTCTCTCCAACAGGAGAATATTCCCGCCTTTTTTCAATACAGAAAGGCAGAGACAAGAGCCCCAAGATGAAAAAGGGACACAGGTGAAGGCTAACTCGAGGGGATGCAGTAGTTTGGATCTCGAGTGGTCCCCATGTGGAAAGTGTGGCCTGACGCCTGTGGCACTGTGAGGAAGGGGTGAGATGCTAAGGGCTGGGGCTGAGCGGGGGGTCTTCAGGACTTTGGGGTGCCCTCCAGTGGAGACTGTGGGGCTCCAATCTCTCACTGGATCGCACATTCCCTCCAGAAGCAATGGGGCCACCCGATCATGACAGGAAAGCTCCAAAACCATGAGCCACAACAGACCTTTCCTCTTGAGATGCTGATTATCTAGGGTATTTTTTATAGTAGCAGAAAGCTGACTGATACAATGGGTCACCTTTGACAATTTAATTTTTGTTCACTTAGCAATGAGAAAAATCAGGAAAGTAGAATTATGTAGGAATACCCATCACACACTGGGGGTACACTGGGAAAACAGTTTGCAGTGTGTATCAAGAGCCTTAGAAATGCTTGTGCCCTTTGATCCACTAATTGTCCTTCTGGGAATCTGTTCTGAAATAATCCTAAAAACAGAAAAAAGCTTTAGGCAGAAGGACTATTGATTTACTACTTTATTTTTCTAAGTTATAAGATTATATCTAATAATGAAAACTGAAAATAACCTAGGTATCCAACAAGATTAAGTAAGTTCTGATCTATCAGAGGACTATTGCAACCTCTTGTCGGACCATACAGATGATTTTATAACATGAGAAACACTTGTATTACTGTGTTAAAGAAAAGTATACACATGATGAAATCAATTGGATATTTTCAAATGTGTGGAAATAGGACCAGGAAAGATAGATCTAAAAATCAACAGTAGTGATTCTTTTTGTGGGCAGGCTGGGTCACAGATAAGTCTCCTCCTTCTCTTTCCTGTTTTTCTCTTCTGCCCGGATTTTGACAGTAGACATATTTTTTTGTGCGTTTATCCCGAGGCGAAGGGAGAGCCTTGTTTAGGCCCACGTGTCTGGGGATCCTTGCACAGAGCTGCTCCTAAGTTCCTGCTCGGGGTGCAGGAAGAACACTGCGGCCCAGCCAGCAGAGCCAGGGTGGCCAAGCATGGAGGGTCCCTGCCATTCGCCCCCCAGCAACAGCAGCTGTCCCTTCTCGCTGGCCCAGGAGCAGAGGGTAGCCCTGCTCGGCTTCGGTGATCAGTCACGGGTCAGGTCGCAGTGTGGGGGCTCCACCCCCACTTCCACGACCAGGTCCCCAGGCGCTCCTGCCACGCTCCCTGCCTGTCTCACCCCACCCTTCCCCTGGGGCTGCAGCCGCACCTCCCCACTTCTGCTGGTCTGTTCCGGGGTGAGGCGGCCTCAGAGCTGAGCCCTGCAGGAAGCCAAAGCCCCATTTTGGGGCTGCCGGATGCTTCCCTCCTGCACCCCACTCAAGCGCCAAGACTGTGAGTGAGTGACTGCCAGCCCTGCTGCCTCTACCACCCACCGAGTCCTCCTTCCTCTCTGCAGCAGCCCTGCTTTCTCCCAAGGCCTAGGTCCATCTCTAGGTTTGTCTCAGGGTTTCACCCGTAGCTGAGCAAGCTGCCGAGGCCACACTCTTGACCTGCTCCCCCACTTCCTCAAAGTTCACTGGGGTCCCACGAGGAGCAGGCAGCCATGGCTGGCACTGTGAGAGCCATTTCACCCGGGAGAGTCACCTCATGGCATGGGTGGGTATGGCCAACCGTTCTGTTTACAGATGACACTGCTATGGGAACTAACATGGTCAGAATCGCACACAGAAAGATGGAGGATTTGGAACCAGGTCAGAACTTGCTCATTAACACTACTCCAGGGGTATGGACTCCAAACCACAGGCCCAGGCCTGGGCAGGGCACTGCAAGGGTGAGTGGTAGGGCCATGATAAGCATGGCCAACTGTATTAGTCACATTGCCATCACCTGACACCTGCAACTTAAAGGGTTATTTGGCTCACAGTTTCAGAGGGTTCAGTCCATGACTGGCAGGCTTCCAGGCAGAAATGGCACGGTGGAAGGGTCTGGCAGAGCAAAGCTGTTCAACCCATGGCAGTCAGAAGAGAGAGAGAGAGAGAGAGAGAGAAGGAAGGAGCCAGGGACAAGAGTGCACCCTTTCCGATCACATCTCTAGTCACCGACCTCCTAACAGCACATTCAGCTAGGAACTCCTCAGTGGATGAGTGTGAGCCCCTAAGATCCAGTCACCCCCAAAAAGCTCCATCTTGGAACTCATAAGGCTTTTGGGGGACATTTTAGATCTAAACTGTCGCACCCACTGACGAGCACATGTCATCTGCATCATGTGGGTCACCCCAAAGCACCATGTGACTTACAGCAGACAATAATGTGGGCCCAGCATCACCAAAGTGATGAGTTTTCCGAGATGCCAGCCAGCGTGGATTTTATGTGCAATCCCCCTGTACTGTAACGCGGGTCCAAACCTTTCAGAAGCACTGGCTGGGCCAGTACCATGCCCCGTGCCCACCAGCTTGCAACTCCAATTCTCGCTGGTGACACGGCGCTCCGCTCCCTTTGAGGGCCCCCGTACCTGCACAATCTCCAGCATCTCCGCCTTGCTGATGTAGCCGTTCCCATCCAGGTCGTACATGCTGAAAGCCCACTTCAGCTTCTGCTCCAGCTTCCCCCTCGATGTCACGCTGAGGGCGATGATGAATTCTCTAAAGTCTATTGTCCCATCGCCATTAGCGTCAAAGGTGCGGAAGACGTGCTCTGCAAATTTGGAAGCATCCCCGTAAGGGAAAAAGTTCCCGTATATTTTCTTAAACTCCTCCATAGACAAATGTCCGCTGGGGCAGTCTCTCAGGAAGCCTTTGTACCACTCCTGGATCTCGTGCTCTGTGAAGTCTGTGCTTTCCAGCAAGTCCTGCATGACCTCGGGCCGCAGCTTGCTGTTCTGTTTCCCCATCCTGGCGACGAGAACTCAGCTGCAGAGAGGAAAGAAAACACGTGTCATGTGCAGAGCTGCTCTTCCATCTGATCACCTGTGATTATGCCTCAGGAGAAAAAAAAGGCAAGCAAACAAGCAAGCCAACGCTGCTCTAGTCCGGTAACACTGGCTCCCCCAAGTTGCAGAAGCGCTCTAAGAAGGCTGGGGTTCTACTACGGAATCCAAGTAATAGCAGAAGTAAAGGAGAGGAAGAGGAAGAGGAAGCGAGAGACCAAGACAGAAGATAGCATATTTTGTTGCTCAAATATTTTCAAGCGAGGTGAAACATAAGTTGATTTGTTTTCTGATTCTGCGTTGGAGGCTGAACCTGGCTCTGGCTTTGCTCTTTGCTGAGAGAACGGACAACCTCTTTTCCCATTAGCATGATCCATAGCTGTGGGATGGGGTTGAGTTTGGAGGCTCCTCGGTGTGCTGAATCAAGCAAACCCCACTTTCTACAAGAGCTAAATTAAACTACAACTCTAAATAGAGCACAAATAGAATTTATAAATTGAGCGTTCCAGTAACTTTCTCTTCCCTCTCGTGATTTTTTTTTTCCATGAAGATTAAGAAAAAATAGAGAGGCTGGTTTGTATTAGAATTTTAAAACTGTCATTTGGTTGCTAAGCTGGCAATTTGCCTGAGGCCAGAACTCAGAAACATGAGGTAATACATAATACATGGGTTTACAGAGCTCCAAAACATTTAATGGAATTTACAAGTAATTTCAAGTTTTCCTTTTGGGGCAATCTTTAGAATGTGGTGCTCAATCAAATCACTATTATTACAGTTTTGTTATTTGCAAATCAACTGGGCCTGGCCTTGGGGGAAGATTGCCATTTTCATATTTAAACCTAATCCTTTGAAGAATGATTTGTTTCCTTGCATATACAAAGCACTGTTTCTTCAAAACGAACTTAAGTTCTTTTCCCAATACTTAAGAAGTGCTCTCATTTATTAGCTGTTTTTCACTAAAAACAAATTGCCTCAACATTTGGCTTCGCCTCCTACTGAGGCTGATCTGGGAGCAGCTATTTTTCTGTAAACAGTAATTACACCACATTTACAAAATCATTAGCACTGAAAGGCCATAACACAAACAAGGCAGAGGAGCACAAAATAAGTTATTTGAGAAGCGGGCGTTTGCAATTTAGTCCAGAATTTGTTTCAGTAGATAACTGCAACACTTTCCTGAGTGGGATGACTAAACTTAAGGAAACCATCTGGATGCAGTTAGACAGTGTGACAAATCTGAGGTGGCTGGGACAGTCTCACTGCTTGGAGGAGCAGGAGGAAGAGACAGGAATGCTTGACAATACCTTGTGGTAGACAAGAATCTCTGTCTGAAACTCCCGTTGAAGGACTAAGGACGGGGCCAGAGAATGACACCAATTAGCAGCCTATGACTGCTAAAGTTGCACCTATGACTAACTAAAGTTGCATCTCAGGGCAAATGCTCTTCATTGCCCCATGCAGTCATTCCAGGACTGAGCTGGTGTCAGAACACAGTTGGGAAAAGCTCAAGATACAGAGTAAACTACACTTGGCTTCAAAGCCTGGCCCGCTGTTGACTAGTTACTGGGTAAGCCATTTAGCTTAATGGTGCACCTCGGATTTCTCATCCGTAACATGAATTCAGCCGTCCAAAACTGCGCGCGATAGTCCTAGCTGAGAAACCCCATGTTTGTTTGGTAGGGACAAACTCTGGTGAATGAAAGTAACATCTTGTCCTTGATGGTTGCTATGGTTCTGCTCTGGTTTGCCCCCAAAGATCAGTGTTCTGGCAGCAGTCCCCAGCGTGATAGTATGAGGTTATGGGGTGCAGTGCTCATCCGTGGGTCGGGAATGGGTCAGGGCTCCTGGGTAGCTCACTCCCCAGGCCAGTGGATGGGTACAGAGGAGCCAGCGTGGCTTTCCAGCCTCTTGATTCTGTCTTGCCTGTCACCTCTCTCTCTCTGTCCTGTGGGCCACCTGCCAGCTTATGATACAGCCACAAGCCCCTCACCAGAGCCCACAGGTGGGGCTGCCCGGTGTTGGCCTTTCAGCCTTCCAAACTATACCAAATACTCTTTTCTGCGTTAAGGTTCTCAGTCTCCCTTACTTTGTTACAGTAACACCAAACAGACCAAGACAGTGGCCTTTTCATAGTTATTCTACGGAACCTTCACGGCAACTCTGTGTGATGGGCAGGGCAGCCTTTTCCACTTTCAAAGCAAAACAATGAATCCTCAGAGAGGCTAAGTGAGTGGTCCCAGGCCACACAGCTTAGGTTGCTGTCTGGTAGCCCACTGGTTTTTCCACCCTGCCCTATGCCCTACTAGGCACGAAGCACAGGCAGAAATTATAACAGTTTGGTAATCATTCAGGAGGAAGCAGAAAGGAGGGAGCACACACCTTACTGTAATCATACTCTCCATGAACAGGTGCCCAGTGCCCACAGGAGGGTGTGTGAGGCACAGGGAGCAAAGGGCAAAATCCTCCCTCCCAGAGAGCTCACCGTCTAGGGAAAGCGATGCTGCAAGTAAGAAAAGTAAGTGAGACATCCACTAGTCACGCACCAAGGAGAAAAGTAGAGAAGAGGAGAAGGTGGGCAGCGGGGTGAGGGACAGGTGTCAGAATTCTAAATCACAAGCCCGGGAGGCCTTGCTAAGAAAGTGACCTCGAAAAGCCCTGAGCGAGTGAGGCAGAGTTGGGAGAGCCCAGCAGAGGCTGGTCCGGCAGAGACAGCAGTGGGTGCTGAGGTCAGAACTGAGGCCGTGCGCAGCCGGAGCAGGCTGGGCGGGAGAGGAACTGGGGCCAGACGACGAGGCTCACAGAGGAGACCAGAAAGACTTGGGCTGTTACTCTGCGCTTTGAGCGGAGAGGGGGATGCGGTGGCTTACATGCTGCCAGGTCGCTGTGCCACAGAGGCAAGGGCAGGCTGAGGAGGAAGGGGTAGAAGAGACCAGCAGAAAGGCCCACAGCCACATGGCAGGGCGAGGCGGCTGGAACCGGGGAGGATGCACAGGCTGTGGGCACAGCCGAAGACGAAGCCTGAAGGACTGGCTGAGGGTTCAGTGTAGGAAGGGAACAAAGAACAGCAGGGGACTGCAACCCTAAGGTTTTGGCCTGTGTTGGCTACTTTTCTCCCACTGTGGAGACAAAATACCTGACACCCAAAGGCAAAGGAGGGAAGGTTATTTAGCTCACAGTATGCAGAGGTTTCAGTCTATAATCGGCTGGCTCCAAGGCAGGGTGACACATGGCAGAGGGGCAACAGTGCATGGTGGCCGACAGGAGATAACAACACAACAAGGGGAAGACAAGTCTCTTTCGTCCCTTGTATTGTATCCAGGCTGTGGGGATTAGGGCGGGGCCAAGCCAAGCAGTGAACTGATCTACTTACTGATCACCAGCCATGAATCCCAGCATCACACACTCCAGATCCAGCCACCTCTGACAGAGCCCCACCTCTGACCACATGAGGCTTTGGGGGGACATCTGGACACAAATCACAGCATGCCCTGAGCAACTACAGTAAGTCTAAGGATGACACTGACATTGACAGAATGGGGAAAATGGCAGAGAGGCAAGGCTTTGGGGTGAGTCAAGGGACAGGGACATCAGTACTTAGCTGTGCAGTCTTAATACTGAAAGGCTGGTTACACATCCAGGTGGAGACGGCAGGCAGCCAGGTGGACACACAAGTCTCAAGTTAGAGGACCTGTGCTGGTTAATCTCCACTTCCTCATAAGTGGAAACTTGGCTGGATGAGGAGACTCCTGGAGAGGTGACTGATCCTGGGGGCACACTCAGTAGTGGGTTCACCCTCTGACGTTCATGGCTGGAGGAGGCGGGTCCCTGGGGTCCTGCCTTTCAGAGGTGTATCTCTTCCCATTCTCTGCTTCCTGGCCGCCATGAACTGTGTGGCTTTGCTCTGCCAGGCCCCTCTGCCATGACATCTCTTCCTTGGAGCCAGCTGACATGGACTGAAGCTTCTCAAACCGTGAGCTTCTCTCCTCTCTGAAGTTGTGTGTGTCAGGGATTTTGTGCAGCAATGGGAAGGCTGACTGATACAGAGGCAAGGTGCACTCAGCAGTCATGAGCAGATTCATGGGTTTATGGCCAGAGCCAACCTGACTGAGGACTGAGCCTTTGGTCACTCTGACATGGAGACAGGGAGATGGGATGGAACCAGTAGAGGAGGAGAGGGGGCGGCTGGCCAGACGGTGAGAAAATATAGAGGCAGAGCCTGCATTGTCCTCAATGTGTGCTTTTTATACTCAACTGAAAGTGCTCAGTGCCACAAAACAAATCAGACTTGGAGCTCTTGGTTTCTTGTGTGAATCCTGTGATCTCTCACCGACCCCAACCTGCCTGCCTCAGTGAAGGAAACCATCCCCCACCCAGCTGCTCATCTCTGTGGTTCTCTTCCCTGTGGTCCCATCACTGTGTGCTGTTGATTCTGGGCCCCAAATTTCTCCCAATCCAGTCATGGTCACATCTGCTTTGCCATCACACCAGTCCCAGTGGCACCATCTCCTTCCTGGTCCTCTCCCGTGCTCTCTTCACTGGACTCTCACGGTATACTCCTGTCCTAGTCTAATCTCACTCAGCCTCCCAGGGCGACGGTCTAGAAACAAGCCAGACAGGGTCACAGCTCTGCATAAAGTTCTACACAGGTTCCCAACACTCCTGGGACATAGTCCGAGTCCCTCCATGGCCACCAGGCTGTGTGGGGGCCCAGGCCACCTCTGTTTCTCTCTCCGAACCTCTCTGTCTCTGTTCCAGTGCCCCGGCCTCCCAGATATCCCTCCCTTCCCTGGCATGGCCTTTGTGTCAGTCCTGCATGTCTCCCAGGGCTCAAAGAATAAATCCGGGGTTAATACAACCAATGAAAGAGGAAAAGCATATGACGAGAGAAGACACCAAATCACCAACAGAGGGGCAGGAATCCAAAATACAAGGTCAACTTTCCATTTAAAAAGAAAAATAAAGGAGTAGCAACTGAAAAGGATG